CACAGTCTCCGATTAACGTGATTCTCCGATTAAACTCACTCTGCATTTCTTTCTAACTATCCCCCTAGAAAGAGACGAAGAGTGAGTTTAATCGGAGAATCTAGGGAGAATCACGTTAATCGGAGACTGTGAGACCGGCCCCAAAAATATTACTTTATCAATCGTTGATCAGATATGGTATAATTTTACTTTTTTCGACGTTTCAAATATTATTACCTTCAAATTGTTACGAAATTTTGTATATTTACTTTAATTAAATTTTCTAGATATTTCTTTTCTTTTTTTCTGTATATACATTCTATTTCATATACAGTATACTGTACAATAAGTACAGAAAAATACAACTGTAAACAAGCAAATAGTTTGTTATTGAAAAATTTGTAGAAAAGATACAGTCTTGGAGATAAACTTTTTTCAAATTCTTATACATTTCGATTTTATTTTGATGTTAAAATTTTTATTACTTAATATCTGTGTATTAGTCCGTTATATTCATATAAATACATCAATAAATATAAATCTTAATTTACTTCATTATATGTTATTCATGAATTGAATTACAATAACCTTGTTACATTAACAAGATTCATAAGTTCAAACCAATTTGTGATTTTGATGTATAATGTAGACATATTGAATTTTGCAGAATTATTTTCTATTCTTTTACTGTATTGAAGTTGAATGTACTCGTATACAGAATGCTGCATATAAGTATTAATATACCTGTATACATGGGTATTATATACAAGTATTAATAACATATTTTTTGAAATATTGGATATGAATAAGCATTCATTTAAAAACTACAATATGCATTCCATATAGCTAATGTTTTGTTGGCAAAATATATTTACATTGTCAAGCCCAGCAATCTTTTAAAGTATTCAACAGATCTACTCTCTGTCCGATGTGTATACATCAAAATATCTAAGTTGTCGAAATCACTTTGATTCTCATCCTGTAGTATTAAAATACAAACACCACATTCGTTCAAGAACAAAACCATATAAAAAAATATTTTAGCGCGTCATAAAGTTTCTCTTGCTTATACAACCACGATCTTATGATTGTTACCATTTGGCAAGAGAACGTAATAGACACGCTTTTCCTTATCTCATTGAAATGCTTGCATATTAGTATGATACTGAGTGTTAGCAAATGATCCGTTAGCTTGTTCGTTCTGGTCAATAACGCTTTGCATTTCAACAGTTGACTCATTGCTAGATTGTCCATTATTTAAATTTCCAGTACTGCTAACGTTATTTGTCACTACATTCACATTATTCGTGGCATTTGATTGTTGCACGTTTAAACTATTTTGTGCAGAATTATTATTATTTTTTGATCTGTGTCTAAGTCTATGTGTAGTAAGATATTGTTTTACTGAAAACGCTTTATGGCATATATCGCATTTATATGGCAATGGATCTGGGCAATTTATACCATCCATGACAGTGACTGCATGAGTAGTTAAATGCATCACGTAATAATGTTTTACAACAAATGACTTCCCACAAGTTTCGCAAATGTAAGGACCAGATACACCATGCGTTTTTCTATGTTTATGTAGATTATCCTTACGTGAAAAACTTTTGCCACACAATTCACATTCGTGCATTTTCTGTCCGGTATGAGATACCGAATGTCTAACCAAGTGTTCCTTACGACTGAAAGCTTTTGCACATGTCGTACACACATACGGTCGCTCACCGGTATGTAATTTTCGATGTTGAAAGAGATGTTCTTTTCGTTTGAATGGCTTACTACAAATGTCACAACTGAAGGCATTAACATTAGTTTGCAAAGGATCATCTTTACTTCCAGTATCCGATGGTTCACTCATAAGTGTCTCAACATTACAATTATGATTGCTCATTTGGTCGAATGAAGGAAAGCTTTTACCACAGTCACGGCAAATAGCATTTCTTGCAGCTTGTCCTTGAGGATTCACAGTGATTAAAGATGTTGGCTCTGAACCTGACCTAAGTCTCAGAAATTCTCTGATCTGTTCGATTGAATTACGAGAGATTCCGTCATCAGATGTTTTTGCAAATTCTTTAAAATCTTTGTCATTTCGAACTGTCATTAATGGATTCTCTTTGAAACCCAAATTTAAAAATACTTCTGGCGTTGCTTGTACTGTAGTATAAGTTTGTACATTTGGGTTAGGAGATTCATCTTTTTGGGCCTCGGATTGTATTTTTTGTATGATTTGTTGATTCGGTTCCATATCTGTTTCAGTTTTGAGAACTATATTATTATTTTGATGTACAACTGGCGTCTCTTGTTTTACTGAAAATTCTTGCTGTGTTATAATTTGTACTTGCTGTTTTTCAAGTTGAAGTTGTCTATGCTGCTTTTCAAATTCACGTTGTTGCCTTTGTAATTGTTGAAGCTGCTGTGATATCTGTGATTGTCCTTGTACCTGTTGACTGACTTGGCTTTGATTCTGTTGTTGAGATAATTGTGCTGATTGACTCAATTGTTGAGAAATTGCTCTTTGGGATTGTGCTTGCTGATTTATTTGGCTGTGATTCTGTATTTGGCTCTGAGTTTGCTGCTGAATTGCGGGAGATTGATTTTGTTGGTCACTGATTTGATTTTGCGTTTCATTTGATTGATGCGATGATACTTGAGAAGTTTGTTGTTGGTAACTGTAATGAGTCTCTGCTGTAGCTTCAACGACAGCCGCTGCCATACCGCCTGGTTGCATCTAAACCCAGAAAATATTTTATTACTTTTGATGCAAATAAATAAACTAATAAATATATGTAGAATATATTTAACAAAAACGTTGTTATATTTAATATAAAAGTATTATTTATTAATTGCAAACCTGCATAGCACATTTGTATTGCTGTACCCTTGCTTGCACACCACTGATGATTTGTATATTAGAAGTATTTATATTGCTAACTACAACAGGTTGCTGATGCTGTGTTTGATCTACTGATTGTTGATTATTCATTATTTGGCCTCCCACTGGTGTTGGCACTTTATCCATTGACTTTAGAACATCATCCTCTGGTGTGGACGGTCTTTCCTTTTCGATATTCTTTACATAAACTTTTCCTTCTTTCAGAAATTCCTCAGAAAAACGAAGCGAGGTAAAATAAGACTCCAACATACCCTCAGCATTGACCACAGTTTCTCGGAACTCTATAAAACTCTCTAGCTTCTTGACACATTCGTGGCATACAATTTTTGGTAATGAATCCTCCTCCATAACCTTTAAGAAATACAAATAATTATAATTTAAAATTTATTTATTTTAATATGTGGTAATTTATTATATTTTAATTCTTCTTTTATGACAATCAGATCATAAAATTAAATATTAATTTATTGTCATATATATCAATAATGTGACAGAAATGAATGAATAAATAAATTAATTAATCTGTTAAATAGTTACAGTTTATATTATTTTGATAACTTGTGTATATATATATATATATATATATATATATATATATATATTTCTTTTTCAATATGTTAAAATAGACTGAATCAATAACAAAGAAAGTTAAATTTCTAAATCTAAATAATATAAATATAAACAATATTTTAATGTTCTAGAAAAAGATGTAAAAGTTGTGTCAGTAATAGTAAAAGTCTATATAAAATTTATGATTTCATCTTAAGGATATACTATAACCTATGTTGACCTGTTTATATTGATTGTTTCTATATTCTATATTCTACATAAAAAATAAAAACCTTATAAATCTTCTAAGACTTAAATATTTGTAACAAGATAAAAATAAATTAGAAGTATCTGCTTTATTTTAAGTTATTTTCGTAAACCTGTTAAACTTCTATTTTGTTATATCCACTACAGGGGAAACATATACAGATGTAATACAAATGTATGTACACTCAATCAACACAAAGCATATCAGTTACATTACATCTATATTATAATTTTGTACACAACATAAACGTAATATATAACATATGTTATTACTGTATACATTGTATGTACATTGTATGTATGTACATATATACTGTGTACTGTGTGCATATACATTTACATTGTTGAGTGTAAAATTATAACATAGGTGTAATGTAACTGATGCTTTGTATCGACTAGGCAGATATATATCATAATATCATAATCTATGCTTTATTATCCTAAATCTTAACAAAACTTCCTTTAACCATTCTTTTCATGATACATACGTATAAATAAACGAGCATATAATGTTGTCATGAAAAAGAAGAATATAATAACATAATCGTATTTCAAATATTAACAATGCGGTCTCATGATTAAAAAATATGTTATTTTATTGTTCTCATAGATTTTCAAAAGTGATTCTCGCCAAGTGTCAGAGTATATTCTTTAGGGTCTTAATATCTGACACAAATATTCTTTACAGATTTTTCAGACATTTTTTGGATTTTTGTCTTGCTCATGACAAGTTGAATTGACAAATAGGGTTAAGTGACCGCATTATTACAATAGGATCGAAAATAGCTTGTGTCGCGAGTTGAGCATCAATGCTCACCTGTATCGGTAGATACGTCTGTATTTTCGTTTGCAATTGTCGTCTGCGTCCTTCATCGCGAAAAATATTCATCTTGTTACCCTCACTGCTGGTACACAGTCGACACAATTCATAATAGTTTACCTTACGGTATCCCGACATCGTTTTTCCCGCGGTAAACAGATTGCGACCACCGAAGAATCGCAGAAGGAGAGAGAGAAAGCTTTCAATTGCGTGACACTCACTACAGGAACGGTAAACACGCAAAACCACCGCCACCGCCACCGCCACCGCCGCCGCCGCCGCCACCACCGCGGGCGCCGCCACCGCCGCCGCCATCGCCACCGCCGCCGCCGTCGCCACCTCCACCGTCACCTCTATGAAGTTAGCCGACAGAAATTACTAAAATTTGATAATTTTTTATTTTTCTAAGGCCGGTATTCATAATCAGATCTTATTTCAAGACCGTCTTAAGGGGATCCTAAAGCCGTTTGTATTACCGACCAAATTCTATATCTGTCCTTGTATAGACAATGATGATAGACAAGGATAGACATGGTTATAGGTTATAATTTCTTCGAACGTCTCATTTTTATTCCAGGCTTTCAATCTCACGTTCAAAGGTACGTTATTGTTTGTGCACGTCTTCTGAAGGGTGGGAACATTTCATTTCGTACATATTACTTACAATTATTTATATTAGAAAATGAGGTAACAGCATTTTTAATTTTTTTTAATTATTACTAATTATTTTACATTCCCACCCTTCATTAGTACCTATACTTTACTCCTGTAAAAGGATTTTGCGATCTATAAAGCCGTTTCAAAATTAGACTTTTGACTGTAATTGTCGGTAATTGAGTCACTTTAGCATCCCCTTAAGTAACATCTTAAGATACTAAGGCCGGTATTCATGGTCGGTTCTTATTTCAAGACCGTCTTAAGCAATGTCTTAAGATGCTAATACGGCTCTGTGGCCGGTATTCATAATCAGATCTTATTTCAAGACCGTCTTAAGTAATATTTTAAGATGCTAATACGGCTCTGTGATTGGTTAATGACATCTTAAGATTGTACTTAAGATGGTCTTAAATATAAGAACCGACTATGAATACCGGCCTGTGATTGGTTCATGACGTCTTAAGATTGTACTTAAGACGGTCTTAAATATAAGAACCGACTATGAATACCGGCCTAAATACGGCTCTGTGATTGGTTAATGACATCTTGAGATTGTACTTAAGATGGTCTTAAATAACTATGAATACCGGCCTAGTGTATTTCGTTTGTAAATCGTTTGTGATTGATTGTGAGTCAGTTTTTAACGTTTGTGACCAATTAGTTTGTTTGTAATTAACAATTTTATTTTGGCCATGATATTAGCCGACACTTTTTAGTAACAAACAGATTTTGGGTCACTGATAACTGTAATTAAGGAAATCGTTTGTGATTTACGAATATACCAGTGTAACATTTGTGAATTAATAAATTTATGAGTTATTTGCAAAATAAGTTCAGTTAATAAGGTTAATGTACTGCGCAGGTTAAGCCCCTTGCACAATGCCAGGCAACAGGCAATAGGAACAGGGAATAGAAATCAGAAATCATGTATAAATGCAGAATAAACAGTGACACAGGCAATAGACACAGAGTTTCCGTCACGTTGGAAATTCTGTGCCTATTGCCTATTGCCAACCAATCATAGCATTTGAATTTTTTAGGTTGTAATTAACGATTTTTTGGTTATTTCCTGTTCCTATTGCCTGTTGCCTGGCATTGTGCAAGGGGCTTTACTGTGCTGCGCATGCGCGAAATGTACTGGCTATGGCGTTTTCGATTTGCTACTCGACCCGACTCGGGTCGTATCAATGGACATGGAATACATACATAAGATATGTATGTGTTCCACGTCAAATGATGCTAGAGTCCTGTATACATGATGCGACCCGAGTCGGGTCGAGTCGCAAATCGAAAACGCCATTATTAGTTTACACCAATCACTTAATACGCGTATTAAATAATAAATAACTAGTAAATTAGTTTGATTATTGGCTGGTCAGCTCAAATATATTATTTGATACGCGTATCAAGAGATCGGTGTAAACTAAGCCACACTCAAACTCCCTGGGGATCAATCATGTATCTTTTTCCCTAGGACGGAACGTGAAAAGTGAAAAGTTTATCTCTTTCTATTCGGGTGCATTAATTCGTTTACGCAGTGATGCGTGCAAAAACATCACCCGAGTGCTAAAAATTTATAGTTCACGTAACATATGCTGGAAGATTATACTAATATAGGACTCTAGTCTACACTACTAGGATGAGGCACAAATATAGGACAGAGAGAAGAATGACACAAGTATAGGACAGAGAGAAGAATTCTTCTCTCTGTAGGATCATCCTCCGGTCTAGATAAAGCATAAAAGTACCCCAGCCACTAGATGGCGCCAGACTCCTGGCGGAAAAAATGTCTATGAATAACTACAAAATTTGACTAGAAATAGAAATTTGTACATTTTTGTTGAAATATTTAATTTTTTGTAGAAATAGTTATTTTTTTGTAGAAATATCTACTAAATAGTACGCATGGCTTCTGCTCACAGGACGCGAAAACACTTGCCGCGCGGCAAGCTTTTCCGCGTCCTGTGTGCAGAAGCCAATAGGCATCTGTGACTCGATTTAACTTTGATTGGCCGCGTTCAGCAGACACAACTGTTGAGTTTGTCTTATGCTAGGTCTACAGTGCGAGTCGTAAAGTCGTAAGTCGTAAGAATTGACCAATTACAGTCGATTATTCTCCTCAAATTCGATTGTGATTGGTCAATTCTTACGACTCACGACTTTACGACTCGCATTGTAGACCTAGCATTAATCAACACTCTGCGTTGATTGGTTGGTTCTAAAATTAAAAGCCAATCACGTTCGACTGCTACTGAGCGGCTTGGGGGTCGATTCTGTATCTTGGGACGAGGTGAAAATTACAAAAGTGGAGAAATTTATTAGAGAATCTACAATTTCATTTGTCGAAATCTAGTAAATCTGTACACTTTTGTAATTTTCACTTCGTCCATCGACATATAGTATGGACTGCGCGATCCTTACATAAAAGCCTTCAAAAAGTGTCCGGAGAATTAGACAAAGAGGGAACGAGGTAGAGGTCAATTGTTCTCTTTTTCTAATGCTTCTATTGGTCGCTTTTATCCCCACCCAGAGGATATAAGGAACGTATTGTAAAGACGATGAACCCGTTTCTTCGTTTTATAAAGAGTGTGTTTATCGTCAATCAACGTCATACATTAATTCTGAAAAAAATATTCTTTTGCTCACGTGTTTCATCTGCAAAAAGAGATCAAACAAATCGCAAGATTTATCATTTCATCGGTGAGTAATAATTACAAATACTATTAGATTATTAGATTAAACAATTATTGGATTAGGTTATGTATCACCCATGTGACACTTTTGTGAATTTTGGGTTATTTTTTGATTGTAGATTTCCGTCAAACTCTATCGATCGACAACAATGGCTAGATATTATCGAAAAATCAGAAGAAGTCCCAGGGAAAAGCAACAACCATTTGTTCGAGACATTTTGACACTGAATGTTTTCGTTATGGACCAGTCGAAGGAAGAAGGTTTCTGAAACCAGGGCCCGTATTCCGTTCCTGCCTACCGCCAACTGTCGGTTCGATAAGTGTCGTTGCGCAGGTTTTTCATATTGTGTAAAAGCTGCGCAACGACACCGACAATTGTCGGTAAGCGGATTTTAGCGGAACAGAATACGGCCCCAGGGAGTAAACTAACTATAAATCTTGAAGTGCTCCAATAAATATTCCGAACACGACAGAATTTTCTTCTATACAAACCAGTAATATCTCAACCAATGAACCAGCATTGCGATCAAGTATTGAAAAGTTGGCCACATCAAATAAGTAAGTATATTATTATGTTTTTTATTTTAAGTTTTTAAATATTTTTTTTTATGTAGTATTAGAGTTAAATAATATATGATTTTGTAAATATGTATGTATAATGTTTTATAGGCGGAAACAAGAACTACCACTGACTGAAATTATTGCTAAAAAAAAAGATTCGACTAACTGATCTCACATGGGAAGAACTTTTTGAGTGATCAATGGCCTAGTTTACACCGATCACTTGATACGCGTATTAAATAGTAAATAACTAGTAAATAAGTCTGATTATTGGCTGATCAGTTCCAATATACTATATGATACGCGTATCAAAAAATCGGTGTAAACTAGGCCATTTGCGAGGAAAAGCTTATCTCGCGGTAGACACAACAACAACCCGATTGCCGAGCAGTTTGAGTCTGCATTCAAATGGTTATTGGTTTATGCAAAAATCAAAGGCTCAGATAAATGCAAATTGTCTACTTCAAGATAGCACTTGTTTATTACAAACTCCCAAAGTTCTCGATAAGCCGGCTCCTAAAACTCATGATAATGATATTGTCGACATGCATAAAATCAGTAAAACTCTTAGGGTTTCTTCAAGCACTTCTTTGGACCATGACTATTATATACCCTCGGTATTTATAAATGTTAATAAAACGTACATTAATCACATTATCGCGTACATAGCAGGTTTTATAGCTAAGAGTCTAAGTAAGTCTGTTAAATGTGTAATGCGAATTGCGGATGTTAAATGTGGATTGCGTAAAATTGCTCAAGTCTGAAAAATGTTTCTCCGCACAGACTAAGAAATTTCAAGGTAGATTAATGAAAGCTTCGGCTGATTTAATATAAACATGTCTAATAGCAGAAGAACGTTTTAGAACGCACAACGTTTTTTAAACTAAAAACATTTTCAACGTCTTGATAACAAGTACTCTTGAATATATTCCACCCACTGTGTTTGAGAATAAGGGAAACTGCGGAGATGATCACCGTTTAAAACTATTTGTTCAAATTCTAAAAAAGTTTTTTAAAGTTCGATTACACCACGAAGGAACATCCAACTTAGAACAACGAGAGCAGTTTAGAATAAGATCAAAATGTAACAAAACTGTTTTATTTAAAAATCAATAAAACTTCTCGAAATTAAATGTAACATTCTTGTTACTTTTATATAGTATATAATATATAATGTTTATATTGACTTGTAACATGTGTTATGTGAAATGGTTATAATGCAAAATATATTACAATATTTGAAAAAAAATGTTCAAATTTTTTTTTTTCATGAAAACAGCTTTCTCTATGAGGAAGCAAAAGGTTATGCACAGATATTCATGTGTATTACTATTTATTTGATTGTATATGGATTGTATTACTATATATTCGCGTATTATACTATTTTCCGAAATTGTATAAAACAGTATCCAAATGCTCTTTAAAGTATATAAATAATGAGAATAGTCGTTAATGGAACAAATATAACACTGAATCAAATCGTAACGCAAAAAATTAAAAAAAATGTAAAATAAATTGTTGACCCTCGGGTGCAAACTCCCGTTACCACGCTACTGAGTAGAAAAAGACAGAGCTTGACCTCTACCGGTCGCTATCTCTTTCTTTCCGACCGGTCACATTTTTTTATACCTTCGCGCAGTCCATACTGTCGGTTCTTATATTTAAGACAATTAAAGCGTTTCCGTACAGGGAGTATAAAGCGGGGAGCACACACTTCTGCACAACGCATAATGCGTAAGCATAAGAGAACTGATTGGTCCATACACATGTGCATAAAGAAATAGACCAATCAATTTTCTTATGCTTATGCATTATGCGTTGTGCAGAAGTGTGTGCTCCCCGCTTTAAAGGTCTATCCAGACAAACTTGCATAGCGCATAAACATAAGCATAAGAGAATTGATTGGTCCATATGCATGTGCATAAGGAAATAGACCAATCAGTTTTCTTATGCTTACGTATTATGCTAGGTCTACAATGCGAGTCGTAAAGTCGTGAGTCGTAAGAATTAATCAATCACAATCGAATTTGAGGAGAATAATTGATTGTAATTGGTCAATTTTTATAACTCACGACTTTAAGACTTGCATTGTAGACCTAGCATTATGCGTTGTGCAGAAGTGTGTGCTCCCCGCCTTAAGGGCCAATTTCAGACCAACCACAGTTAGCTTAACCGATGGTTAAAGTTATCAGAATTGACCAATAGAAATGAATCCACCCTGCTTTCTATTGGTCAATCCTGCTAACTTTAACCGTCGGTTAAGCTAAAGGTGGAAGCACATAAAATTGCAGGAGCCATGAGCATAAAGCAGAAGCCATATGCGCATGCGCTATAGTATCCGTAGAGCTCTAACAGAGCTCTACAAATACCATAGCGCATGCGCATAT